AGTTGTGGACAGGTATGCAGAGGTGAGTTGTGAATGGGAGGTGTAGAGTTGATATGTGGATGTTGGGATGCAGAGGTGAGCTTTGGAGGAAGGCAGAGGCTAACCTGACCACTGCAATTTGGCCATACCTGCCCTATGATGTGGTGTGTGGTGACATTGCTACCTTTGAGGGGGGGGGGAGTTCCTGCACCTATTCTAAAACAAATAAAAGCCCTGTCAATGTTACAGAACAAGTCCAGCTAATTGTGACTAACTACTACTATAAAATGACCTGGATAAAAGAGAGCCTTCACTGACATAGAGCCATGGATTCCATATTATATCACAATAGGCTTCCATGCTAAACTGCTGCAGATACATTTTAATGAGATGCCAGCTGTTGTCACCATAGTTTTGACAATAAAGAGATTCTACCCAGGGAAACTTATATGGACAATAAGTATCATTTATAAAACAGAAAATCTTTGCCAATTTAGAACAAAATCGTGTGTTGTTGAATCATGAGGATATTTTTGTGCACAAGCAGGAAATGTATTCTCATCCTAGTCATGGGTTCTGATAATAAAAGTACACACATAGTAAAAAACAGAGGTCTATTATGGAACTTCTGGAATTTCTTCAAGATTTTCGCAGATTTATTTAGTAAGTATTCAAAGTGCAGTAGCAGCATGTTGACCTTCATACAAGGATGTGTTTATTTCCATGAACACAGTCAGTATATAATGATACATTTAACAGAGAACACTCATAAACAAGGCTCATTCTACATCTGGTCATTTGATTGTTATACATTTTTAGAAATCATGGCTTAATGTTGTCCAAGTCAGGGATTTCATAGTTTAGCCCCCTTTAAAATGCTACACATGGGCCAGTTATCCAACAAAAGTAAACCTGTCACCAGGCTATGGACATTCAAGTATTTAAATATTCTTTACAAGCCTTCACCAACAACTGAAGCTGCAGACACTGTGAAGCAGTTTATTCTCAAAATAAAGCTGAACTCAAGGGAAAGTAAAAATGCTTTTTCTTTTACGTTCAATGACGGGCACAGCCTCTCCAAAGTACTTGACCACTTTTATACCGCCACCTACAGGAGAAGGGCATTAGGCAGAAAAAGCTCTGCACCTCCTATGGGCAGTCCTCTCTAGGGATAAAACCCCCTCTCTGCTATAGACAATCCAGTTCTTTTGCCTAGTGTGCAGGAGTATAGACCTAGTTTCTTGTTGGCACTTATGGTTCCATGGATTTTGCACGTACAGACCTATAGCTAAGCGCAGGGTCAGCTGTGATGAGCCCCAACTTGGACTAGGGCAGGCCGGCGAATTAAACATCTTGTGGGGACACATATGAGTCCATGTCACAGTGCTACCCCTGGCTGGCAGCCTCCCCACTTCGGTGGTGAGGAGGATCTGTCATGGAAGTTTTACCCACATGCTCTGTTGGATTGGTAAGTAAAATGCCCCGCCTACCTCCTTGGACTCTGTGTGTGCGTGCATGGGTACTGCCTAGGGTGGTTGGCCCTGCAGAGTCCCCTCTCCCCCCTTGGCTGATAAATTCCCATCTGCCTCCCCCCTCCAGCTGTTCCCTCTCCTTTCCGACTGCTGGTCAGGCATCGGAGTTGACTGGGTCCCTGGGGCTTCCCTGGGCGTGGGGAGAGCTGGTCGCCACTTACTGGGGCTTCCTGGGCACTATTCCTCTCATGGGGTGCCACAGTTTCTTGTTTGTGGCTGCCATGTGGCTTTGGATTTGGCCAGAGGCCAAGTTTTTGCAGCCACATCAGCCATTTTGCCAGTGATTCCAGTGGCCATTTTGTTATCGGAAAGGCATTCAGCTGCAAGGCAAGTAAGAAACTCCCACTTCTATTGCCTTCTTCCTTGAACTCAGTCACTGCGGGCTCTGCATTTGCTGCTGGCCCCAACAACGCTACTCCTGTATTCTCAGAGGAGGAGGATGTGTCCTCTGCCTCTGTCGTTGCACAGGAGAGGGCGTTGGCCTCCGCTCTCATCATGTCTGTGAGAGAGATGCTTACAATTGAGGATTCTGTGGGGGTGCCTGATGAGGTACCTGTCCTTTCTGGTACGCACAAGCTGGCCAGATCTGTTAAGGATTTTCCTTATCCCCCATATTTTGACAGTTTTGTCTACAAGGATTGGGAGTATCTGAAGCATCCATTTGTACTTTCTAACGTTGTGGTATGCTACCCCTTTGAGAAAGCTCTTATGAAGAAGTGAACCTCTCAGCCGATGGTGGATACCCCCATTTTGCAGCTTAATAACACCACGTGATTCCAGTAGAGGAGTCCCCTTCCTTTAAAGATGCTGTGGACTGTTGGGCTGAGTTGGTGGCATGTTACATGTTCACCATTGCTGAGTCAGTATTGTGCCCTGCTCAGAAACTGAATGGGCCAAAGGTCTACATCATGCTTCGACTTCTAGTCATGTTTCCCAAGCGTATGTCGCACTGAAAGACCAGTTGGTTCAGGGTCTACAGTACATTTATGATGCATCCCTGGATGCAGCTTGCTCCTTACTAAGCTTTCTGCTTTAGCGGTAGTGCTTTAGTGAGTGTTGTGCCTCAAATGTTGGTCTGCAGACCAGACTATGAAAAAAGGCTTGGCGGACCTGCCTTTTCAGGGTGACCGCCTGTTTTGAGCTACTCCGGATGAAATCATTAAGGACCTTACTGGGGGCAAGAGCACCTTCCTCCCTCAGGCCAAGAAGAAGAAGGAGCCGTGTGAAAACTCAGGGTTAGCCTTCAAGGCGCATAAGCAGCTTTTTTGTTCCCCTGGTTCCTCAGATAAAGGCTCCTAGCTTGATGGTGCCAAGTGCCGTTGGACCCAAAAGTCTTCAAACCCCTCAGATAAAAAGCTTGACTGTCCATCAATGTCATGGAGCTTTGAGCAATCAGGCTGTCCCTGGCACATCGGTCAGATCCCCTAAAAGGGTCTTCTGATCAGGATCCAGTCAGACAATGCCACTATGGTCCATCACCAGGGCGGCACAAGAGGTCCGACAGTGGTGCTGGACAAGGCTCACATTCTGCGGTGGGTGGAATGATTAGTGCCAGCTCTGTTCACCGTGCAAATCTCTGGCATCAAGAATTGGTAGGCAGAATATCTCAGCCCAAACAAACAAAGGATTTCTCAGCACACCTACCAGCCAGTCTGCAAAACAACCAAATTGGCCCTGTCTAACAGTTTGAGTTAAAAACAAAGGGTTTTGATTGCACACATTTGCAAATAAATGCGTAAGATGAAGTTCCGTGTCAGGAGGCCTCTATATACTGTGGTTCCTAACTAAAATTTCTAGAGCCTCCAAAGTGGGAGCACATATATATCGATAGATGGGTTAATGGCAGGTGTGCCTGGAGATAGCCTACCCCTTCTTAAAAGGCACAGGGATGCACGTGACACCCAGCTATAGTAAAATGACAGAAAAGGCATCCAGTGCAGCTCTGCACCCAATTCAGCCAACTGTACAAAAAAAATGGCAACCGTCCCAACCTATAACCAGCCTTAGCGGCAGGGTGCACATGGAAGGGCAATGCACATCAAAAGATTTCCAGATCCTCCACAGCGCGAGAACATATATCAATGGACAGGTTAAGGGCAGGTGTGCCTGGAGGTAGCCCACTCCCTCCTTAAAGGCACAGGGATGCACGTGATGCCCAGCTATTGCAAAATTACAGCAAAGGCATCTTCTTAGACGTGGTCTGTGTGGCTCAGGTGTACCTATCCACAATGGCTGCTTTCCGAAAGGTTTGGTGGCCTCCTCTGCCACTGTTTTCTGTTGGATTCGGCCGACAACTGTTCAGGCGTATACCATTAATGGGCGAGAACCTCCCTTTTTCCCGCTATAGAACATTCCACCAGGACGATTAGTGCCTCACGGGCCTTCCGACATCAGGCATCTGTCTCTTAGGTTTGCAAGACGCGACCTAGTCGTCCCTGCACACTTTTACTAAACGTTGATGTTCTGGCATCTACGAATGCTAGTTTTGTCCGCAAAGTTTTGCAGGATGCTGTTTAAGGTTTTTGCGCTTGGACCTTTTGGGGTCGTTCTGCCTGTTGGCATGTTTGCCTGGTTGTTTTCCTGTTTTTGTTTTTTTTTTGCCCAACACTCTTTGTGGCCCTGCTTTCATACATCCCTGTTTGGTCAAGAATTTTGGAGAGGCTGTGTCCACCAAGGAATGTAGGAGAAAATGGGATTTTTTGTTACCCACCGTAAAATCCCTTTCTCTGAGTTCATTGACAGACACAGCACCCACCCCTTTATTGGAGTTTATGCTTCTGACACTGCTTTGTTGAGAACTGGATTGCCTTTAGCAGACAGGGAGTTTTGTCCCTAGAGAGGACTACCCATAGGAGGTGCCAAGCTTTCTACTTTCCTGATCCTCCTCTCTTGCACGTTCCCTCCACACTGTAAGACTGGTCCCTGCAGCTTTTTCTCCTCTATACTCCAGCAGTTGCAAGTCCTCTGATGTAATCAAATCCAATGCAGGGTTCATAACTGCACTGGACAAGAGGACATCAAGGAACAGTCCACTGCTGGTACATAGAGGAGAGTCAGCAGCTGCGAGAGTGGAAAATCAAGTAAGCACAACTGCTTTCCCCATAAAAGCTAAACGTGTATTTAATTTTTGCAGCGCAAGAGAAGTCTCACTGCAAGGGTGGATTTTTAATTTCCTCGGAGTTTGGCTTTAACAGCAGAAGCAACAAAGTACTTCAAATCTTTCTCCCAGCAGCTGAGCTCACCCTCCAAATATTGATTTAACAGCCTTCCAGCCTTGTAATTTTTGATGTAAGAACAGAGCAGAAGCTCTGGCAGCTGGAGCTGATCTGCTGGGAGAATGACTTGAAGAACTTCACCTAAATTACATCGAATACAAGAAAACGACATCACATTTCAATGTGTAAAAGTTAAACCATACAAACATGAAAAGTAAAATAAAATTTTTATTAAATATACTGTATAACTGAAAAGAGCGTAAACCAATATATTTTATTCGTCATCTTCCTCCTCCTCTTCTTCTTCTTCCTCCTCTGCCTCTTCAGCAGCAGCTTCAGCCTCTTCCTGTGCAGCCTTTAGTGCTTGTTCCTCCTCTACAGTGGGGTCCACTGCCTCTGTGATCTCAGGTCCACTAGGGAACTCTGCCTGGGGTGGAGGAGGAGCAGGGGGGCTGTATCCTTCAGGGCTGTATTTCATCCCCCAGCCAATGTAGATGTTTTCAAATTTCCTGTGAAGAACCAATATGGAAAGGCTTCTTTACAGTAAGAGCTGTTAAAATGTGGAATACTCTCTCTTAAGAACTAGTTCTGGCCAGCTCAGTGGATGGTTTCCTAAAGGAAAGTATAACTGGATAATAATTTTTAGAGGCAATAACCATAGGGTTAGTTGATCTAGGGAATATCTGATTGCATCCTGAAGAATCAAGAAGGAATCTCCCCCCCCCCCCACTGTAGCAAATTGGTTCATGCTTTCTTGGGGTTTTTTACCTTCCTTTGGATTAACTATAAGTATAGGATAGTGCATATTAAAGTTTTCTATTTGTGTGTGTTTTTTTTAATTGGCTTAAATAGATTAGTGTCCTCTTTAACCTGAATGACTATGTAACAATTAGGCAATTTGATTCCAATTCTACCTGGACACTGAAATATTACAGTAAATAAAGTGCAACACTTTTTTTGTGTGATCTGAGCAGTAACACAGTGTAAGTGCTATGCAGTTTTTATTAATATTGCTCTTTAGACAGATTTCCCTTCCTACCATCTTTTACCTTTAAAAACAAAAAAAAATCTTAATTTTCACTTGGGAGTTTTTGATTTTCCCCTTGGGGGTATTTTTTTAGCCTGATCTGAAGGCTCCAGTGTCAAAGGGAATCCTTTTCATTTTAACCTCTATTCTGGGGCTGGTCCTCAGTGATGCAGAGAACATTGCAGAGGCAATCTGCATAGTTGTGTGACATTACGATGTACCCCAAAAGGCATGTTCATATTGTCCAGTGCTCACAGGACACAGGAAGTGAGTTCAAGGATTCTGGGTGTCATGCAATTTGTAAGAGGAATGGTGCTGGACCACATAGCAGTGAATCTTGGAGGACAGCGCTACAGAGGTGAGCATTGCAGCAACAGCTGCTTTTTTTTTTTTTACAACAGGTGGTGTATCTATTTTTCAAAGGCCAATGTCAGAAATTAGGCAAAATCTATCCTTGTAGTAGGGTCCCCCCTGCACTGCAAGAGTTAGCTACTCATTCAGTATAGGGCTAATATGTGTAAGGAAAAAAAAAAGAGTAATACTCACCTTGTTCCATGCTCAAGCAGGGTCCCTCCAGCAGAGTGAGGGGTCACATGAAAACATCCTCTCTAAGGCGCTCCCAGCCACAGTCACTCTCCTAAACTCTCCCATTCAAAGTAGGGTTAATAGATCTCACTGTATCTAGTGATGGTGATGAGCTGCCTACAGCTCTGAGTGCCAGATGGAGAGGAGAACATCAGTTGATCCAACCAGAGTGGGGGTTAAGGTAAGTAATTCAGTGCCTTCAGCTACCCCTAGACCTAATGAGCATTCAACCCTTGCCATTACACCTCTCCCCCCACCATCACCACCGCAAGGGTAAAGTTTGTGTAATTTCTAGAGTTGGGCTTTAAATGAAAAAAAAAAAAAACCTGGATCTGGGATGACAACACAGTTATATACCTTCTCCTCTATTTTGATTGGCTACTGTTTACTTTCAGTCAGGCACAAGGGCACATTTAGACATTTGAGTGGGTTGTTGAATGAATGACACAATGCTGCTGGAAAGAAACTGCTGTGCAGATACCAAGACCTTATAAGCAAGGTGTCAGTTTAGCAAACATTTTACCAAAGCTGCTTTTCTCTCCAAAAGCAAGTGTTGGGGGAATGTGGTCCCAGGCAGGGGCGGACTGACAACTCATGGGGCCCTTGGGCAATAGGGGATCATGGGGCCCCTGTGTCCTTGCCCAAACTCAAATAAGCCTATGAAAAAGGTACCAGGGGCATCTCATGGGGCCCCCTACTGACCCCGGGCCCTTGGGCAGTGCCTGAGTTTCCAAATGGTCAGTCCGCCCCTAGTACCAGGGCAGATATCACTCATACATTGGTCCTTCCTGCCAACTCTGTATGCCCAGTTACTCTTGGTAACAAGCACCATGGGAGCTTTTAAGCTACATCTGGAATCAACACGAAAGCCCTAGACTGGCAACGCTGGTCATTTTAAGAAGGTTGCAGGATGAGACAACATACTTGGAGCTGGAGATGGTGAAGGCTCCCGGCCACAGATTGGATCGAAGAACTGCAAGAGCATATTGAGGGATGAGAGAAGATGAGGGTGAGGCTGTCCATGGTGGTGTCTGGTTAATTTCTGAAAAAAAAATATTTACCATAAGTCCATTCATGAGAATATGATTAAAGAGTAGAACTATACTGACTGCCATAGAAGATCTGTGTATAAACCTTCATCTAATATCAGCTGAGCATACGTTTTTATGCACACTGCAAACACTTATGGTGGCATATTAATTTCACCAACAGTGTGATGTTGGGAAAAGCAAAATCATGTGATCAATTTTTCCCTCTATAATTTTTAGCCACAGCATGTTTAAAAGGGTCACAGAGTCTCCACAGACAATTAATTATTTCCTCATCCTGTTGCAATTGGCTAGATTAGAAGATTACTATCTTGTGTCTTTTTATAAGGGAACAGTACTGAGAGAAATACAGAGGCTGACACTGTTCTGAAAGTGCTAGCAATCTGGATGTCATGCTGATCCTATGGTTATACTAATATTCCATATAGATAATGGAAAAAAGAATAGCAATATATAATACATCTCATAGGGAAAAGATAAAAAAGTTGTGTATTTTTGTATAACCAAACCCTTCATGTTTAGTTGTTGGACATTTGGCATATTTTCATTCAGTTTAAAGCATACCTGTTCTGTTTTATGCTTTAAATTCTTTAATATACCCAGGGATCCACTATTTTTTCAAAGAACAAAGAAAAAGAAAGAGGAGGGTGCCACCATATTAGTGCAGGTTTATTGCCAAATTTATTGATAAAAGCTTTGACAAAGGGGCGTTACTGTCCTGAAACACAGTGCTACTCCCCCATGAGCATGTCATCAGCAGCCACTACAGAGCTCCAGCCACTTCTCTGTTTCGGTCTGCCTGTCACAGCCCACAGAGACCTAGCAAGCTGTGGTCCAGCTGTGGCTAGCACTTCCTTGCTCCACTCTGTCCCACCAGGCAGCTTCCTTGATGAACTCTGTGGATGAACACCTGCTTCCACACATACAGCAGATTATCTGATCTTAGGAAAGTCACACTGGACCCAGGCTGGACATTTTCATATTTATCACAGTGAGTGTTTATATACAGTACGTGTATTTTTTAGCAATAAACCTACACTTAGATGCTTGTGTCCTCTCTTTCTTTTTCTTTGTTCTTTGAGATTACCAGTAGGATCAATCAAGTTCCTACCCCAGAGAGGTGCTGCAGCTGCTACAATTGTTTTTTCTTCACAATATTAGACTTTTAAGGACTTAATTGCTTGCCAATTAGGGCTAATGCTACCAAGCAGGTAGATCCTATAGCGGGGAGATTTACTAAAACTGGAGAACTCAGAATCTGTGCACCTGTGTATGGTAGCCAATCAAATTCTAACTTCAGCTTGTTCAATTGAGCTTTGACAATAAAACTGGAAGCTGATTGGTTTCTATGCAGAGCTGCACCAGATTTTGCACACACCAGTTTTAGTAAATCACCCCCTATGTGTTTATCCATAAGACAGAGAACACATGTCTAAAGACCAGGACAAGAACGAGGAAGGCATGAAGGATTCCTACAGATCTGTGTTCTGCTTTATATAACTGGTTGTATACAATTACATTCAATGGGAGCATGGCAAGGCTTTGCTAAACTAATGCAGGGGCGGCCTGCATACTCAGAATATCTAAACATGACTAAACCAAACTCTTTTTAACCAAACCTGTTTGTAGAATTAATTTAAAAAAAGGGTGTGAAAATTAAAACAGGGCTGGTAGGTAAACTTCACCCATCTAAAATACCTTAAATCTCAACTCCAAGAAAATTAAAAAAAATCACCCTTGTAGTGGGGCCTCCTGCAGTGTAAGGGTTAAATGCTTGTTTAGTCTAGGGGTAGAGGATTGGGGAGGAATACTTACATTATTCCTCACTCCAACAGGCTCCCTCCAGTGCTGTTACTGGTCCATAAGCAGCTGGTCTGTAAGCTGTGACTGCCTCTAGTCGCACTCCAGCCTCCCAAGCTTACAATACAATGTCCCATTATTGTACATGATGGCACCAAGACTCCACCCACAAACCAGAGCTGTGGCCAGAATAGGACAGTGCTGGAGCCGGGGTGCAACATAAGTAAAGCTTCTTGTACAGCAACCCCTAGGCACAATGAGCAATTACTCTTGCAGTGCATGGGGCCCCACTGCAAGGGTGTCATTTTAAATTTTCTTGGCATTCAACTTTATAATCTCCATAATAAAAATAATAAAAAAACACATAATTTACTTTATCTATATGCCACATTTACAGCATATTATTTTCCGCAAGTCTACAGGTGCCTTTTAAGGACACAAAAGAGCAGTACCAGCATCCTCAGAGAGAGGTGTGAGCAGAGGAGGGCCCACTTCAGGCTCTGGTTCCTCTTCATCCTCTTTCTCTTCTTCCTCCCCCTCTTCTTCTTCCATCTCCTCCTCTGACTTTACAGCCGTGTTATACCAGACACAACGTCCCTATGATAGGGAAACAAGGCATATATGTGAGAGCAAACAACCCGATGGTAGGACCAGGACCTGTGTCTGAAAAGTCACTCCTCTCACCTGTGGTAATATGTGCTGGACATGGTGAACCCAGTTAGACAAGCTGTCCACCAGTTCACTTACTGGAATGCCCTCAAATTCAGAATTCTCTTCGTATGTGTCCCTTACAGCCCCTTCTTCCTCTTCTTCTCCTTCCTCTTCCCCAAACTGGTAAAAACCAAGAGGGCTGACATGGGTTCCCGCGGAGATGCGAGCAATCTGAGCACGCAGGAGGTTAGCCTCTGTTCCTGGGAATGGGGGGTAGGTAATAACTGGAGCTTCAGGTTTTCCTGAGAAGAGATGTCTGATCTGTTGATATAAAGATTAAATAAATATCAGTTGACTGAAAAGTAAAAGAAAGAAAGGGGGTTAGGTACTGTAGTGTTTTTTGAAACATGAACGTTAATGATGGGTATGCTTCTCCCCCATCCTATTTGCACATTACTATGGTAGTATTAGGAGATTATACTCATAAAGAAGTAGGCATGATTGATACAACTATTATCTTGGAACAGTAATGGTGGGCATACAGCTTCAACAAACGATCTCTTCTAATACTTCTATAGTCGACAACTCATTTGATCCATATCAAATGGAAGAGGATTTCAAATCTACAGTTACAATTGTAACTTATGATCGTACTTTATTGATTGCATTTCTGTTTCCAACATGTAATCCCATGAATTGATCAAGTGAACTACAATCATATTCACGAGCAACGTATCTCAGTACCAAAGCACAATGCCAAACAATTATTTTCCACCCTTGCCGATCAACTCAGTTTGCTTGAAGCCATCCCAAATTGAGTCTTTTCCAATCAGAAGGGAAGTTATGGCTACTTGTTTGTTGAGGGATTAAATTTTTTTGTTAAAATTTCACATTTGTTAAATAAAAGAATTAGAACGGTGTGGCGAATGTGACGAAGCATGAGGTGAGCTATGCCACTGGTTCTTTGCAGACTGGTCTCACTTACCTTCACCTTGTCAGAATCTTGTTGCTATGATCTCCAAACTTTTTCTACTACTTAAAGTCTGACTCCAGCCCAAATTCTTGGTTTTAGTTTGGACAGAGTGGGGAGTAGTTAAAGTATAACCAAAGGCAAAACTTTTTTTTTAGATTTGGATAGAGTGGAGAGGGATTAGAACGCTTGTCAGTTTTTATTTCAGTCTATGCCCCCATTAAGGAGATTCACCCTCTCTACTTGTCCTGTTTACCATTATCATCGAAAATGTAAAAGTAAAAGAAAATCCCAAATTTTGGGTTGTCCCCAGAAAAGTAATAGAGGGGAACTCTTCCAATGAGGACACTGGTGTCTGGCTCTGGTGGGCTGGTGGGTTCCCAAGAAACTCCCTTAAAATTCAGGGATTTGCTCCTACTCCCTGTTTGGCTATGGGACAGGACGTGAAGGTAAATCTCTGCAATGGGACACAGATGGCAAAAAAAAAACATTTCTCAGGAGTTATAACCCTCCCTTGCTCTATCCAAAATGAAAAAAAAAAAGTTTTGCCTATAGCTCTACTTTAACAATACTGTCAGGTTGGTATCTATGTTTATGACCCCATTAAGGAGATTTTTCCTCATATCTTAACTATGGGACACCTGTACAAATAACACTGGGATGTGGCTATCACCAGAACAGAAGAGCAAGAACATTATCTGAAGGTCTTACACTTCCACAATCTATAAAAAAAGTTTGTTCTGCTTTATGCCCATGTCCCCAATGAAGAGGTTTTCTGTAACTTCCTGTCCTAAAAGGAAATAGACACAGGCGGCAATAAAAAAGACTGACAAGGGCTCCTACCCCATAAAATATAAAATGTTTTTTAACTGGGATTAGGTTTTAAAATAGAAATTTGGGGGTTATTAAAAAAACAAACATACACACTCACCTCCATGCTGCAGCATCTGTGTGAATAAAGATGAGCTCAGGTGTGTTTGCATCCTAGTTTGAAACACACCTGAGCAAGCCCACCAGGAACCTGTTATTGCACTGTGACAATTATAAGCATTTACCACCCCACAGCCCCACATATACAGTATCTCACAGAAGTGAGTCCACCTGTCAGGAATGGACTGGCCAGCAATGGTGGGACTCACCTGCCTTATGAGCTGCAGTACCAGGGCTGGCCAGCGGGTGCTCCCGGCAATCAGAGACTCAACCTTGCAGCCAGTCAAACACTTGAAACTGCTTATGCTGGTGTATTTAAGGGATGGCCACACCTGCAGACTCTGCCTTGGTGTGTGTTTCTCCTGGGCCCTGTATCCTGTTCCTGCTCCCTGTTCCTGTCTGATTCGTTGCTGACCCTGCTCTGATCCCTGGCTTTGTCTGACCATTCTCCTGCTCCTGATCCCTGGCTTGTCTGACCATTCTCCTCTGCCTGACCCTCTGTACCACGCTGCCCGCTACCTGCTGAACCTGGCTTGTGACCCCGACCATTCTCCGCTTGCTTCCCCTGTACCTACCTGCCCAATTGATATTGACCCGGCCTGCCTGACGCCGCTTGCATTGTATGTACTGTCATCTGTGGGTGGTTGGTTTGGTTTGTTTGCACTGTGTTATGTTTTAGTATTGCACTGCGTTTATGTTTGTATTGTTAGTGTTAATAAATTATATTGTTTATAACATATCTGAAGTCTGCGTTTCCCTGCTTCAGTCACACACCTCTGGTCATACCCGGGAGCCCTGACATTACACCAAGGCCAATCCTGACCAGAAGTGGCTGCACAGGGAAGCCATCTTGGTTTGTTGATGGGAAGGATGGATCTTGATGAGGTTGTGTATTTATATCTGCTAGTGTTTGATGACAGAGAGTATGCTTATCAAACTCTGAAGGAGTATACCCGGGATAAACTGCTAGAATGTATATGGCTCGCTGATGTTCTAGTAGATCAGGGCACAGAATTCTCTGAGGTGCAGCCATTGATTCAGATTTGTGCAGAGTTGGTTTCATCTGGTACCCCCGAATGCAGGGATGAATTTTTGCCGCCATTTAGTGTCCGACCAGGTAGAGTCCCTGGTATGGTTATTAGAGGATGATGTGGATTGCTTCTTGGAGCATTATGCTGCATGTTCACCACAGATACTAAGAGATTGCATAAACGCAGTGCAGTCTTTGGTCAGACAGGCTTTGTGTAAGCTCAGCTTTGTTCAACCCATACTGCAGACATGGACAGATTTGTTGCACCCAGCCTCAGTCAGCCTACAAAAACCCAGTCCTGCTTCTAATCTATTTCCTCAAAGCTCTATTCCTGCATTCCCAACAGCTCCTCCTGCCCTGCTATCTACCGCATGTCAGTACCCTGTTCCCACTCGCTGCACCTATCCTGCCTTTAACCCTGTAAAAAAGCCCTCTGTAGCAACTGCTCCCTCCCCTGTTCCATCCTCCAGCTCTTCTCTGTCTCCAGCTGCTCCATTCGTTTGCAGACCTGCGTTTACTTGCAGTGCTCCAGTAGTTAAAACCAGAAAAAAGCGAAAATTCTTTCCAACCAATACCATCCTGCCAGTATCCAAACCGGTGAGCCTGCTGTCTGAGAACCTGCCTTCCGTGGTTCAGCCTGGTGCCTCGGCACCCGCACTTCAGCCTGAGGTCTGTACCCAGCCTGATGCCTGTACCCAGCCTGATGCCTGTCTTCAGCCTGATGCCTGTCTTCAGCCTGATGCCTCTACTCAGCCTGATGCCTCTACTCAGCCTGATGCCTCTACTCAGCCTGATGCCTCCACTCAGCCTGATGCCTCTACCCAGCATGATGAACTGATCCAGCCTGATGATCCTATTAGGCCAGTTTGACTCGATGCCCGCTGTTGATCCAGATGATCCGGTACCTGATCCGGTGCCCGCTGTCATGCCAATTGACTCAGAGCCCGCTGTCGTACCTGGTGACTCGGTGCCCACTGCCTTGCCAGATGACGCGGTGCCCGCTGGCGAGCCAAATGACCTGATGCCTGGTGACCCAGTGCTCGCTGTCATACCTGGTGACCCGATGCCCGCTGTCGAGCCAGACGATCCAATGCCTGGTGACCCGGTGCCCGCTGTCGTGCCAATTGACTCAGAGCCCACTGTCGTGCCGGGTGACTTGGTGCCCACTGTCTTGCCAGATGACGCGGTGCCCCCTGTTGAGCCAAATGACCTGATGCCTGGTGACCCGATGCCCGCTGTCCAGCCAGACGATCCAATGTCTGACCCAGTGCCCGCGGTCATACCAGTTGACTCGGAGCCCACTGCCTTGCCAGATGACGCGTGCCCGCTGTCGAGCCAAATGACCTGATGCCTGGTGACCTGATGCCCGCTGTCCAGCCAGACGATCCAATGTCTGACCCAGTGCCAGCGGTCATGCCAGTTGACTCGGAGCCCACTGTCGTGCCTGGTGTCTCGGTGCCCGCCGCTCCGCCTGGGGGCCCGAGAACCTGTTGCTCCGTCTGGGGGTCCGGCGCCCGCCGCTCCGCCTGGGGGTCCGGCGCCCGCCGCTCCGCCTGGGGGCCTGAGACCTGTCGCTCCGCCTGGGGCCTGAGACCTGTCGCTCCGCCTGGGGGCCTGAGACCCATCGCTCCGCCTGGGGGCCTGAGACCTGTCGCTCCGCCTGAGGGTCCGGCGCCCGCCGCTCCGCCTGGGGGCCCGAGACCTGTCGCTCTGCCTGGGTGTCCGGCGCCCCGCGCTCCGCCTGGGGGCCGAGACCTGTCGCTCCGCCTGGGGGTCCGGCGCCCGCCGCTCCGCATGGGGGCCCGAGACCTGTCGCTCCGCCTGGGGGTCCGGCGCCCGCCGCTCCGTCTGGGGCCCGAGACCTGTCGCTCCGCCTGGGGGTCCGGCGCCCGCCGCTCCGCCTGGGGTCCGGCGCCCGCCGCTCTGCCTGGGGGCCCGATGCCTGTCGCCCCCGCCTGGGGGCCCGATGCCTGTCGCCCCACCTGGGGGCCCGTGCCTGTCGCCCCGCCTGGGGGCCCGGTGCCTGCTGCTCCGCCTGGTGGCCCGGTGCCTGCTGCTCCCCTGGTGGCCCGGTGCCTGCTGCTCCCACCTGGTGGCCCGGTGCCTGCTGCTCCGCCTGGTGGCCCGGTGCCTGCTGCTCCGCCTGGTAATCCGATGTGCCTCTGCCCGGAGTCCAGCCCGATGTGCCTCTGCCCGGAGTCCAGCCCGATGTGCCTCTGCCCGGAGTCCAGCCCGATGTGCCTCTGCCCGGAGTCCAGCCCGATGTGCCTCTGCCCGGTGTGCCCCTGCCCGGTGTGCCGCTGCCCGGAGTCCTGCCCGGTGTGCCGCTGCCCGGAGTCCTGCCCGGTGTGCCAGTCTTTGATATCCCGCCAGTTACCAGACCCGGGCGGTGGAACATTTTGCCCAGCTAGGACTGTTTGGAGCGTCCTGAGGCCGCTCCTTGAGGGGGGGTACTGTCAGGAATGGACTGGCCAGCAATGGTGGGACTCACCTGCCTTATGAGCTGCAGTACCAGGGCTGGCCAGCGGGTGCTCCCCGGCAATCAGAGACTCAACTTTGCAGCCAGTCAAACACCTGGAACTGATTATACTGGTGTATTTAAGGGATGGCCAGACCTGCAGACTCTGCCTTGGTGTGTGTTTCTCCTGGGCCCTGTATCCTGTTCCTGCTCCCTGTTCCTGTTCCTGTCTGATTCGTTGCTGACCCTGCTCTGATCCCTGGCTTTGTCTGACCATTCTCCTGCTCCTGATCCCTGGCTTGTCTGACCATTCTCCTCTGCCTGACCCTCTGTACCACGCTGCTCGCTACCTGCTGAACCTGGCTTGTGACCCCGACCATTCTCCGCTTGCTCCCCCTGTACCTACCTGCCCGATTGATATTGACCCAGCCTGCCTGACGACGCTTGCATTGTATGTAATGTCATCTGTGGGTGGTTGGTTTGGTTTGTTTGCACTGTGTTATGTTTTAGTATTGCACTGCGTTTATGTTTGTATTGTTAGTGTTAATAAATTATATTGTTTATAACATATCTGAAGTCTGCGTTTCCCTGCGTCAGTCACACACCTCTGGTCATACCCGGGAGCCCTGACACCACCCCTCACATTTTTGTAAATATTTTATTAGATCTTTTCATGTGACAACACTGTAGAAATGATACTTTGCTACAATGTAAAGTAGTGAGTGTGCAGCTTGTATAACAGTGTAAATTTGCTATCCCCTCAAAATAACTCAACACACAGTCATTAATGTCTAAACAGCTGGCAACAAAAGTGAGTACACCCCTAAGTGAAAATGTCCAAATTGGGCCCAATTAGCCATTTTCCTTCCCCGGTGTCATGTGACTCATTAGTGTTACAAGGTCTCAGGTGTGAATGGGGAGCAGGTGTGTTAAATTTGGGTGTTATCACTCTCACTCTCTCATACTGGTCACTGGAAGTTCAACATGGCAAAGAACTCTCTGAGGATCTGAAAAAAAGAATTGTTGCTGTACATAAAGATGGCCTAGGCTATAAGAAGATTGCCAAGACCCTGAAACTGAGCTACAGCACGGTGGCCAAGATCAGACAGCGGTTTACCAGGACAGGTTCCATTCAGAACAGGGCTCGCCATGGTCGACCAAAGAAGCTGAGTGCATGTGCTCAGTGTCATATCCAGAGGCTGTCTTTGGGAAATAGACATATGAGTGCTGCCAGCATTGCTGCAGAGGTTGAATGGGTGGGCGGTCAGCCTGTCAGTGTTCAGACCATACTCCGCACACTGCATCAAATTGGTCTGCATGGTTGTCATCCCAGAAGGAAGCCTCTTCTAAAGATGATGCACAAGAAAGCCCGCAAACAGTTTGCTGAAGACAAGCAGACTAAGGACATGGATTACTGGAGCCATGTCCAGTGGTCTGATGAGACCAAGAAAAACGTATTTGGTTCATAAGGTGTCAAGTGTGTGTGGCAGCAACCAGGTGAGGAGTACAAAGACAAGTGTGTCTTGCCCTACAATCAAGCATAGTGGTGGGAGTGTCATGGTCTGGGGCTGTATGAGTGCTGCCGGCACTGGGGAGCTACAGATCATTGAGGGAACCATGAATGCCAACATGTACTGTGACATACTGAAGCAGAGCATGATCCCCTCCCTCCGGAGACTGGGCTGCAGGGCAGTATTCCAATATGATAACGATCCCAAACACACCTCCAAGATGACACTGCCTTGCTAACGAAGCTGAGGGTAAAGGTGAATGACTGGCGAAGCATGTCTCCAGACCTAAACCCTATTGAGCATCTATGGGGCATCCTCAAACAGAAGGTGGAGGAGCGCAAGGTCTCTAACATCCACCAGCTCCGTGATGTCATCATGGAGGAGTGGAAGAGGACTCCAGTGGCAACCTGTGAAGCTCTGGTGAACTCCATGCCCAAGAGGGTTAAGCCAATGCTGGAAAATAATGGTGGCCACACAAAATATTGACACTTTGGGTGCAATTTGGCCATTTTCACTTAGGGGTGTACTCACTTTTGTTGCCAGCGGTTTAGACGTTAATGGCTGTGTGTTGAGTTATTTTGAGGGGACAGCAAATTTACACTGTTTTACATTGTAAGTGTCATTTCTTCAGTGCTGTCACATGAAAAGATATAATAAAATATTTACAAAAATGTGAGGTGTGTGTACTCACTTCCGTGAGATACTGTACATGTTCCCTTGTAAATGTGCATTTGAAGTGTGGGAAATCCCCCTGCTGGGGATCATTGGCCCAGTACAGGTGACAGCTTCCTAGCAGGATCGCTCAGGTGGCTTCACACTAGGATCTGAACATGCCTGAGCTCATTACTACGTGTGGCACAGCAGATGTCCCATGCCAGCTCTAAGACCCAAAACTGACTTACATGACCACAGGTCAGTCAGTTTTTGATCTGCTTGCAGCAGAGATTGGAGACTGTTAGTCACCGCTCTCTGCTTTTCCAGTGCTCACTGGAGAGACAGGCTGGGGAGACAGCAAGCATGGCTGGCTCCGGCAATCAGCCACACACACTGAGTGGCAGAACCAGCTGTCAATCTGCTAGCTGGATGGATACCAAAAATATTGTTGGGATCCGTCCCGTTCTACTCCATCAACTGATAGCAGGCAAGAGCCCCCTAGCAGCTGACTTTGTAGCACAGAAGTACATTAGAAAATACACTCCAGTGAGCCAAAAGGGAAATATATAGCAAAAAAAAGGTTTGAATATACTTCTCAATTACATAGTTGCCATGGCATCATGCATACACAAGATGAGGATTAATGGAGTAATGAAAAATGTCATAACTGAGCTGGGCCTGTCTTCCCTAGGCGTTGCAGCAGAGTGGTAACTACAGCATGAGAGGTGTACATTAAGATACCTTTCTTGCTGCTGTAATCTGTGCAGGGGTTACAAAAGGCAGCCGAATCCATTCCGCACCAGGTTCTGAACACACAAAATAGACATATTTATTGGCTCCCGTGCCATTCTCCTCACGGGGCACCACAGGTGGAGGCCGGTATGTGGATTTGGGGGGGAAATCTTCTGCTTCTTCTTTTTTCCTCCTCATCTTCTTCTTCTTCTGCTGCTTTTTCTTCTTCTTCTGCCCCTTCCTCAGCTTCATCGTCTTCACCTTCTCGGAACTGCACCTCTGCCACCAAATAGCTGCCATGAGTACCAAGGATTTTGCCCCAGAATCGGCAGCGTTGCAGTGGACGAGTGTCAATGAGCCGTTTCAAGGCAAGCGATATACGCACTGTTTCATCTCGCCCTAGACTCACACCTCCTTGCTGAAGCAGGTGAGCAAGATCCAGGAGATTGGGGAGAGGAGAGTCCATCTGTCGAAGAAAAAAATATGGGATCTATATTTTAGTAATGATATTATTTGTGGATGTGTTAACCATAAATTCCCTCAGCGGTAAATTGACTAGCTGAATCCTAGAATATTAATGGAAAATGACCAAATACCTACCTTACTTTTAAATTATTGCAATGGTTTTACACAAGTTAAAATGCACATTTTAGGCATGAAGATTAATTAAACCCCAAACAGTATATATTTTCGGAAAGCAGAGACCCTGGAGAATAAAACGTGGTAGTTGTAATTTTTTGTGTCACATGATATTAGTGCTCATGTTTATCAAATGTAAACATTCAGTAAAAGATATATTAAAGATAATTTTAGTGCACACAAACACAATATATCACCGGAATAAAACAGGAGGTTCAGATGAATGAATACATACTAATCATGGCAAGCCTTAAAATTGCATATGCCTGTAAAACAGAGACAAACTTTGGTATACAAAATTGCCTGTAGGCGTTGCTTTAAAAGCTTTGCCAGATTATCTGCTTAGAATTATCCATGAATGTGGCTGCAGAATTATTCCTCTCACTCTGACTTTAGCGGCGATATGCAGTTTGTGCAACACAATTGTCGTTTACCTACATAGGCTCACCCACCACATATGTTTACATTGGGGCGGAAGCCTTTAAAATTTTTTGTTTGTGTTTTTTAATTCTTTGTTTACAATTAACTTAATTGCTATTACATAAGAGGCTAATAGTTCCCTATGTGATATCAAACTGTAATGACAGATTCTCTTTACTGAGACCTCAGGGGTCCACATACCCACTCATAGACATGGCAGGGGCAATCAGGCGGGAAAGGGTTGGTGGGTGGCATTACCTTCGGCAGGCTGTGGAAGTGATTGGGTAGCTTTGCAGCTGCCCATATCACTTCCACATGAAAACCCATCCACCTGCTCTACATATTTAACCACCTCCAGAAGGTTTTACCCCCTTCATGACCAGGCTCTTTTTTGCTATTTAGCACTGTGCTACTTTAACTGGTAATTGCGCGGTCATGCAACACTGTACCAAATCGAAATTTCTATATTTTTTTCACACAAATGGAGCTTTCTTTTGGAGGTATTTGATCACCACTAGGTTTTTTTATTTTTTTTTAAATATAAATGTAAAAAGACCAAACAGTTTGGAAGAAAAACAATATTTTTTACTTTCTGTTATAAATTATATCCAATAAAAATAATCTAAAAAAATCTAATTTCTTCATAAACTTAGGCAAAAATGTATTCTGCTACATGTCTTTGGTAAAAAAAAAAATTCCAGTAAGTATATATTGATTGGTTTGCATGAAGGCTATGGCGTCTACATATATACTGGAATTTATTTTTATTTTTTTTTATACTACTAATGGCAGTGATCAGCGACTTATAGTGGGACTGTGATAGTACTGTGAGCAATCTGACACTAACTGATAATGAATGGGAACTGACTAACTGCCACTGACATCACCAGTGACATACAGTGATCAGTGATAAAACTATACATTGTCACTGTACTGACACTGGCTGGGAAGGGTTAACATCTCGGGTAATCAACGGGTTAAATGTGTGCCATACTTCAGCTGCTGCAGCAGATGGAAATGTGTTTAAAATCCCTATCTAGCAACCACCATTTATAAACAGTGCTGGTAGACAAGTGTTTAAATTGTATCTCTTTTTTGGGGGGATATACAGTAGTATAGGGTCAACCCTCTGCAGGATTTATTCCTGCCCAACTCCCCACTGGGGCGATCCACCCCTCTATTTATACTGGTGACCTATATTACAGCAAAAGCAGGCCAGGTGAAAAACCATAATTTTAGAGCTTTCCCCAGAACACAGGGTGAGAGGAAATCTTCCAACGGGCACACCTGTTATGGGAAAAACTGTCTAGGGGGAAATTCCATTAACTTCGGGAGATTTTCACTAACTTCCTGTTGGGTGTTTGGCACAGGAAATGAGAAATCTCCCCAATGGTACACAGACAAAAAAAAAAAAGTTTTGGCTATATATATTCTTTAAGGGCTCGTGTCTACTGCTACCATTTGCCTGTGATTTGGTAAGGGATCTGTTGTGGTGCTGCAACTTTTTAAGAGATAAAACGTGCCCAGGAGGTGACATATCACCTCCGAGCTGCTTGTCAAGTGCCACTTACAAGCAAACACTCCCTATCTGCATTTGAGAATATGCAAATTCACATGTGTGTGGTTAATGCAACTCGCGGCACATCACTGCGTACAGCCACCTCTTCTTACGGATCTCAATAGGTGGCTGTATGCAACAGCAGAGGTTCCCAGATATGCCATTATACAGGCTCTTGCATGCTGTACAGCTCTTATATAGTCATGGGCATGAAGCCTTACATACTTCATCAATATCTAATAACCAATATCTAATAATTCACAAACATACATGTTTGTAAACCTTAGTGGAGGCTCTTAAACGTAAACTGATTTTTTGGCTTGCTTTGGTGCTATGTCATTTGCTCACCATCTCTCCATCCCCCCTCAGCCTCCTCTCCTTCTCCAGGTCCATGGGTGAAGAGCGCACGGTGGGATTCTGCCTTAATGTAAGTGTGTGGGTCATCTTTCTGGGTGCGCAGTGTGTCAAGTCCTTTGTTCAGCCTGGACCAGTGCAGTTCTGTGCTCAGCTGTTCCAGGATCTCCAGTGGATTAGGTGGGCGCTCTGCCAGGATCCGAGACAGGAGAGCAGAGATGTGATCATATCTGCAATCATTAGGAAAAGACAGACATTAGTAGATTACAACACACTGGCTTCCTTCACCGACCATCACTGGGCCTTATGTCCATTAAATGGATTATAGAACAATATCTGCATTTTCCACAGCAACCAGTCATTCTCCACCTGTCACATTCTGAGTTTTGGCTGAGCAACAAAAGGACACATCTGATTGGTTGTAACACAAATTCCTTTCCTGGATTTGACTTGGAAGAATTACAATTTTTTTAAATTCTGCTTTAACATGTTTGCCAAAGTTTATCAACAGCTGGATTTAGGTCTCGTTCACACCGTATTGGAAAAAAATGCATAGATTTGCCGTGCATAGAATTTTTTCGGGCTTGCTCACACTATATGCAGAGATGTGCATTTTTTATAACATATGTCTCTGCAAGGACATGAAAAAACAATTGTTTTCCTGTTCACATCACAATGTTGGTCACAAAAAAAAAAAAACACAGAAAAATCACACACCAGTGTTGTGCTGTGAACAGGGCACACAAAAAACTATTGTTTTCTTTTTGCCCTTGCAGACAGGTACAGAAAACCGCATGTCTCTGCACATGGCGTGAACAAGGCCTTACTTGGGTATGACAGAAACCTGCACCATTCAGCTGCACCAAACATTGTAACCATCCAATGCCAATACCTAAACTTCAGAAAAAATTTTTCTCTATGTTGGTCAACTGCTTTAGTAACATGCTTTCTCCTTGCCTTTATCACCAACTCACAATTTGGAATTTAGATTTAAAATTTTGGAATTCAACAATCAGAATTTGGAACTAAGAATTCAGAACTTGGAATTCAACACTCAGAATTTTACATTTGCAACTTAGAATTCGGCAATTGGAACACTGAATTCTGAACCCAGAAATCAGAATTTAGAATTCGGAAACTCAGAATTCAGAACCTGGAACTCAGAATTCGGAACATGGAATTTGATATTCGGAACTTGGAAAGCACATGACTTGGTGTGAACAAGCCTTAATTCTCTTATGAATGTACAATGTGTCAGAATTTGATGTGTAAATGTGGTGATTTGCTGTGGATTTTAAATCTTGTAAAGAGGGACTTACTGAACCTGATGCTCCTATGGGCCTCCCCAAGGTCATGATCTGACCCTATATATGTATATGTATTGTGGCCGTGCGGTACCCTGCCAGGGTCTAAATGAGGATTATAACCCAGGATTCTCATCCAGGCAGGTTGAGTGGCTCCAGGGGGTTTGCCCAGGGGTGTATTTACCACAAGGCAAACAAGGCACTTGCTTAGGGAAGCATTTTTCAGGAGGGCAGCACCTCCCCCCAGAAGAAGGTATACATGAGCCATGGGAACTAGATGGGATCCAAGAGAGGCTGTCTGATGGTATATATAGAGCCTGACTTTCATTCCTGGGGATGTCTGGAGCTCTTGCATGCTCTTGAGACTATGCTGCAGACCTTCTGGCAATGGCATATATTGATGTACCATCCTGGAGGAGCTGGACTGCCTGTGCAACCTCTGTAGAGTCTAGGTATCGCCTCATGCTACCAGTAGTGACACTGACCCTAGCAAAATGCAAAACTAGTGAAAAACAGTCAGAGAAAATTAGTAGGGAAAAAAATGTCAGTGGCCTCCACCTGTAAAACCATTCCTGTTTTGGCGGTTGCAAGATTTGAAAAAGGCGTTACACAGAGAAACTGATTAACAACCCCCTCTGCTACTTAACTGACCTGATCAATATCCCAGGAGTTTAGTTGACTTGATGCTATACTCTGATTAAAAAGAGTACCTTTAATTTTTTTGAGCAGTATAAATATATATATTTCTAACTCAGAACAGGAAATTTGGAGCTCAGAATTTGGAATTTCAAACTCGAAACTTGGAATTTCAACCTCATAATTTCAAATTCGGAACTCGGGATTTGGAATTCGGACCTCGGAATTTGGAACTTGGAATATGGAATTCAGAACTTGGAATGGAACTCAGAATTCAGAACTTGGAATTTGGAACTCTGAATTAGGAACTTGGAATTAATTCCTGTATGTAAGGGGCTTACTGAACCTGATGTTCTCCTGGGCCCCCCAAGGTCATGATCTGGCTGTGTATTTATGTATGTGTGTGTGTATATATATATATTGCATATCTGTCTCACTTAAATGATGCATATCATCAAACAAAATTTAATATTACACAAAGAACACCCAAGTAAAAACAAAATGCAGTTTTTAAATGATGATTTCATTTATTAAGGAAAGTCTGTCTAAACTCAGAACATAACATTTGAAACTCTGAATTTGGAATTTGGTACTTGGAATTTCGAACTCATAATTTGGAACTCAGAATTCAGAACTTGGAATTCGGAGCTCGGAATATGGAATTCGGAATTTGGAACTCAGAAACTCGGAATTCCGAAACTCAGAACTCGGAATTCAGAAACTCAGAACTCGGAAATTCAAATTCGGAACTCGGAATTTAGAACTTGGAATTTAGAATTCAGGATTTGGACCATGGAACTCAGAACTCGGAATTTAGAACATGGAATTCAGAATCTGAAACTCAGAATTTGGAATTCATAACATAGAATTTGACATTTAGAATTCGGAATTCAGAACTCGGAAACTCAGAATTTGGGAACTCGGAATTCAGAAACTCGGAACTCAGAATTTGGAAGCTCGGAATTTGGAAACTCGGAACTCAGAATTCGGATATTCCGAATCTGGAATTTAGAACTTGGAATTTAGAATTCGGGATTTGGACTATGGAACTCAGAACTCAAAACTCGAAATTTGAAACTTGGAATTCGGAATCTGAAACTCAGAATTTGGAATTCATAACATGGAATTTGAAATTTAGAATTCGGAATTCAGAACTCGGAATTTGGAATTCAGAACTTGGAATTTGGAGCTCAAAATTTGGAACATAAAATTTAAAATTCAGAATTTGGATTTCGGAACATGGATTTTGGAACTCAGAACACAGAGTTTGGAATTTGGAATTCAGAACTCAGAAAGCACATGGTTTGTGCATGTTCCTGCAATGCACTGGTGTGAACAAAGCCTTAATTCTGTTATGAATGTACATGTCAGAAAATGAGTAAATGTGGTGATTTGCTGTGGATTTTAATTCCTCTATATGAGGGGCTTACTGAACCCGATGTTCTCCTGGGTCCCCCCAAGGCCAGATCATGACCTTGGAGGGCCCAGGAGAACATCGGGTTCAGTAAGCCCCTCATATGAAGGAATTAAAATCCACAGCAAATCACCACATTTACACATCATTTTCTTACATGTACATATATATATATATATATATATATATATATAAAAATATATTTTAATATTTGATATTTGTCTCACTTAAATGATTCAGATCATCAAACAAAATTTAATATTACACAAAGATAACCCAAGTAAAAACAAAATGCAGTTTTTTAAATGATGATTTCATTTATTAAGGAAAAAAACGTCCTGGCCCTATGGAACTTTGAATTCAGAATTCCGAACTCAAAATTTCTAATTCAGAACATGGAATTTGGAGCTTGGAATTTGGAGCTCTGAATTTGGAATTCAGAACTGGAAGCTGAATCGAGATCTGAAAAAGCAAAAGAAATTCAAAAACAGATGAGAAACAAAGTAATTGACATGTATCAGTCTGAAAAGGGTTACAAAGTCATTTCTAAGGTTTTGGGACTCCAGCTTTTTATGCATGTTTGCAACACTTTTTGCTGTTTTTTGTACAACAGCATAGGGCAATCTATGTGTTTGAATGTGCTGCCCTACATGCGACAAACATGCCAAAAGATGCTCCAGGAGATTCAGACTCTGAGCTTTGTGTGTCAGCCAGCTACGTTTGGGGTTTCATTTACATTTAATAACACCGTGCGTGCAATGTGCTTTTTAAGCGTTCCAGGAAGGTATGTGGAAACATGCATTTCTGCGTTCGTTCCCAGAATGCATTGCTGTGAATGGGACAAAAAAAGTTTTGTCTTTGGATATTCTGTAGTTTAGCTTCTTTCAATAAAGACAGACTTTATTACACCAGGATTATCTTTGGATGTGATCTGTACATTCTGGATGTTCTTATTGTACAATTTCTGTAATGATCATACTCAGTGCCCATGTGTCATTGATGATTAGGACAGCTTGGCCTCCCCACCCCCCCCGGGGCCCCATCCCCCGTCCATACTCACAGGCTGACCCCATTCGGGCCGGCTTGCTGTAGGTAGGCTTTGGCGTTGTGGATGTGCAGCTCCTGGGGATCCGGAGCGATCTCGGTCTTACTCTCCGACATTTCTTCTCAACGATCCTGGTCCCGGCGTCCCCCCGCACAGTCTGATTACACTTCCTCTGTGCGTCTCTTGCTGCTAGGCAACTACGCCGTTGCTAGGTGATCGAGAGACGCTCCAGGTCACGTGTCCAAAGCCCCACACACGGTGCACGCTGGGAGGTGTACATTTTCACCCCGTTCAGCGTAAACCGGACTAAATAGGCGAGCCTTCTGGTGTATCGAATATATCCACAAGGGAGATGTCATATTACTGTTACATTGCAACAAATCGACCGCAACTGCGGCAGTGTGCGTTTCTGCCGTCAGGTGGCGCTGGTTCACCAATTGAATCTCCGAGTCACCTGCAGTACTTTAGACCGACAGCAGGTGGCGCTGATGTCCGTATCTGTAAGCTGCAGTGAGGAAGTTGAGGTTACCATTGCTGAGCTTTCCTTTTTAAAAATACCAGTTCCCGGGTTGTCATGACAATCTAATGGCTTTAGTACTTTCTAAGAGGCTATTCACACCACTGCACATAATAATGTGCACACTGGTATACAGGTAACCACATGCTGATGTGCGCTGCAATGCGTTTCTAATATGCCTTGCAGGGCTTTCTTTAACCATTTCAATACCGTGCAATTTTACACCTTCCTGCCCAGGCCATTTTTCAGGTTTCAGCGCTCTCACACTTTGAATGACAATTGCGCAGTCATACAACACTGTACCCAAACTAAAATTTTATCATTTTCTTCACACAACTAGAGCTTTCTTTTGGTGGTATTTAATCACCGCTGGGGTTTTTATTTTTTGCTAAATTAACAAAAAAAGACCAAAAATTTTGAAAAAAAAACCACATTTTTCTTTGTTTCTGTTATAAAAGTTTACAAATAAATAATTGTTCTTCATAAATTTAGGCCGAGATGTATTCTGCTACATGTCTTTGGTGAAAATAACCCAAATTAGGATGTATTTTTTAGTTTGTAGGAAAGTTATAGAGTTCACAAACTATGGTATAGATCTGAATATTGATCAATCCTGAAGTACTGACAGCCAATCTAATTTCTTGAGGTCCAAGAATGTCAGAACAGTACAGATATCCCACAAATGACCCCTTTTTGCAGAGTAGACAGTCCGACGTACTTCATAAGAGGCATGGCGAGTTTTTTGAAGTTGTATTTTTATGTCATAACTTTTCGGAAAATGAAAAAAATTAAAAAAATTATTTTCACTATTTTTTTTTTTTACATACTGTCACCAGTGCAGTACAGCGTCATCATATAACTGGCATGGCGGTTAACAGGGACACTGACTGGTGACAGTATGAAAAAAAAAAAATATATATATATTTTTAATTTTTTTTTATTTTTTTTTATTATATTTAATTTTTTATTACATTTTTTAAAATTTTTTTAAAGATTTTTTTTTCATATTTTACTATGACCAAAGTAGTACAATGTTACCATAGTAACACTGTACTACTTTGGGGAAGTGATCAGTATTTTTTTTTTTTTTTTTTACACAATTTGCTTATAGCAAAGAATTACTTTGCTATAAGCAAGCATTTACCTGAATGAAATCGATTCATTCAGCTTTTTTTTTTTTTTTTTTTTTTTTTTTTTGTGCTTAGCTGTGATTTGGTCACAGCTAATCACATGACATGTGCATGTGATTAGCTGTGACCATTCACAGCTAGGCACTAGTATACAATGGATGGCATCATGAATGAAGCCATCCATTGTATACAACTGTCATGTGACCTGCTGTGATTGGTCACAGCAGGTCACATGGTACCAGCAACGGGAGCCGGTACTCGGATCTGTCATCGGCCGTGTCCGAGGTGCACGGCCCGTGACAGATCCCGCTGCTACACCGCTCTGCATTACTGCAAACGGCGCATGTGCGGGAGCATGCCAAATGGCGTGCACCCGGAATGAAGAGGCACATCTGAAGCCGCCAAACGGCCATTGGCTGGGCGGCTAATGGTTAACCACTTGTCCTCCTGAGGATTTGCCCCCTTCCTGACCAGGACATTCTTTGCGGTACGGCACTGCGTTACTTTTGACAATTGCACAGTCGTGCAACGCCGCACCCAAATTAAATTTATGTCCTTTTTTCCCCACGAATTGAGCTTTCTTTCAGTGGTATTTGATCGCCTGTGCGGTTTTTATATTTTGTGCGCTACAAAAAAAAGACCAACAATTTTGAGGAAAAAATGTATTTTTGACTTTTTGTTATTAAACATGTCCAGTAAAAAAAAAAAGAAAAAATCAAATTTTGTCATAAATTTATTCTGCGACATGTCTTTGCTAATAAAAATCCCAATACGTGTAAATTCATTGGTTTACGTGAAAGTTATAGTGTTTACAAATGGCGCTATATATACTGGGATTTTTAATTTTTATTTTATTTTTACTAGTAATGGCAGCAATCAGTGACCTATAGTGGGACTGCGGCGGACATTCTGACACTGGAGGGAAGTGACTTGGTGTCTTTCGGTGGTATTTGATCAACTGTGCGGTTTTTATTTTTTGTGCTATAAACAAAAAAAAGACCGACAATTTTGAGAAAAAAAATATTTTTGCCTTTTTGCTATTAAACATGTCCAGTAAATAATAAAAAAAAAAATATTTTGTCATAAATGTAGGCCAAAATGTATTCTGCTACATGTCTTTGCTAAAGAAAAAATACCAATACATGTAAATGAATTGGTTTACGTGAAAGTTATAGCGCTCACAAATGGTGGTATAAATACTGACGGTTTTTTATTCTTATTAGTAATGGCGGTGATCAGTGACTTTTAGCGGGACTGCGGCGGACATTCTGAAACTGGGCGGAACAGACTTGGTGTTACTGACATCCCCAGTGACACCAATACAGTGATCAGTGCTAAAAAAAAAAAAGCACTGACACTGTACTAATGGCACTGGGCAGGAAGGGGTTAACATGAGGGGCGATCAAAGGGTTAACTGTGTGCTGGGTGTTTTACTAGGGGTGTCTGTGTGCTTCACTGTAATCACATTGCTTTGCATGTCTGTCCTGTGAACAGCCATTCAAAGCAGTGTGCCCGAGCTGACAGGGAAGAGAACTGTTAGTAAACAAAACAGTTCTTTTCCCCGTCGGATATCCTCAGAAATCACCGGGTGCCGGCGAGTAATCACTGGGCGGGACCCGGTGATTGACAGCCACAGCTGCAAATTGCGGTGCAGGTAGTGCGCCCCCTACCTAGAAATGCGAAATGTCATGTGGAATGGTTCGAACCACATCCAATCCGCATATATGTGAACCGGCACTTAGCGGCTGTCAACTTATAGTTCTTAATGAAATACCACGGTGCTATGGAGCACTGTGGTAGTTCATTGATTCTTCCTGTTAATATATCTACTTGCCTGTGCATCCCATACAGGCAAACGGATATACTGACAGGTCTGTACGAGACCTGCATGGCACCTGCGATCTGCTGATTGCTGGTTCAATGCTTTACAGGCTCCTGCAACAAAAAAATTATAAATGCACATTTTTTTATATGCAAATAATATGTGCATTTTTTATTTTTTAGCAAAAGGTAAACTTATCCTTTAAGCCTAGTTTTCACACATCCTTTTCATTTCCATTAGAAAGGGATATATGATGGATCTCATTAGAAAATCTCTTGTAATTAGTATTCTTCAAATTAATGTTATTGTAGCATTTAATGGCAATATCTGAACTTGATAAAGGTCAGTTTGTGTCCCTATAATTGTTGCTGGGAGTTACAGGCCAGTGTGCTAACACACAATTTGCCCATATCTCCCGTGTTCAGTTGTGCATCCATGCCCCCTCCTAGCTCTTGTTAGTAAGGGGGCGAGCTTATTTACACACACACAGTTGAAGATTCCTATCTGCAGCTTACATCACACATAGTGAGTGTGGATAGTGGGATTATATTACAGCAGGTGGGCAGTGAGTGGTCTTACTTCCCAGCTCTACGTTCAATGTTAGCCAGCCCACCTGTGGCACGTAATCCTGCCCACCTGCCAACTTGCTGTGTGGCATTATCCAGTACATCGCCTGCCCACTGAACATGATGTAAACCACAGACAGGGAACTTCTCCACTGTGTATGTAATCAAAAAACTCCAGGTACAGATATTTTATACATTCCAAAAAAGTTGGGACGCTATGTAAAATCTACATAAAAATAAAATGCAATGACTTACAAATCTCATAAACCCATATTTTATTCACAATAGAAAACATATTGGCACTTACCTTGGTTGGAGGCCACGTTCATGAGAGGACTTCCCTTGTGGCTGGTCAGGTGACTGCCACAGTCAAGGATGTAGTCAAGGTGCACCAGGATCATATACAGTGAAACAGTAGTGTGGTCAGGAGGCAGGCTGGGGTCAGGACCAGGGAAGCAGGCAGAGCGAGGTCCAGTAGCAAGATGGGTCAGTACCAGGAGATCAGTCAGAGAATAGAGGCAAGCCGAGGTCAGCATCAAGAGATCAGGCAAAGAATAGTTGAAGGCATGCCGAGGTCAGAATCCAGAAACCACAGAGCAAGGTAAGGAACAAGATAGGTCAGCAATGGAAGATCAGTCAGTACAAACAGGAACACAGGAATATGGATTACAGGAAGCTGAAGAACATCCAGTGATTAGTACACAGCGGAGTCTCCTTTAAATAGGCAGCTTGGCACCAATGCGCAAGGGTGTGCGCTCTGATGCGTGTTGGCGCACAGAAATGCGCCTACGTGTCGGTGCATGCTGGATATTAGCCTGGGCTTGTCTGTGTACTGGTACACATGCATGAGCATTAGCTGCATGGGAATGAGCGGTAGCTGCACGAGAATAAGCATTAGCTATAGCAGAATTAGCATTAGCTGTAGAAGAATTAGCGTTAGTTGTACTTGTTTCCTGACACATATCAAATGTTTTCACTGAGAAAAAGTGACATTTTAAGTAAAAATAGAGTAATTTTGAAATTAATAGCTTCAATACATCTAAAAAACGTTGGGACAGAGCCATATTTACCACAATGTAGC